GGGCTCTGGATCGAAGACCCGCTCGGGCCCGATGTGAGAGAAATCGAGGGACGCTCCATCCCCGGTTTCCTCACCGACTTCGTCGACAATAAGATCCTCTTCAACGCTAAGGAAGCTCTGCACGCGACTCTGCCCTGGATCGGAACTCGGGTGGTCCTCGCCGTGTACTCGGTGCAGGGGGTCGATCGGATCCCTGCCGACGAGTTCGAACAACTCCTTCAGTTGGGCTTCCAGCCGGCGCCGGTGAACACAGGTGATCACGTGGATCGGTCCTGGCAAACTCTCACTTTTGCGCTCGAGACCCCGGACTCCGATCGGAAGCGGCCCCATGGCGCCCCGGTCAAAGCCGCGGAACATCGCCAACGATCGGCCGGCAAGAAGGCCGTCGCCGCGGGTTACCAGATGAAGAAGTCTGTCGTGGCTCCGCTGATCGGCACGGAGATGCACCCGGGTGAAGCGATCGCTTTCGCCTTGGAAGCTACGCACCCGTTCACAAAGGACGCGGATATCGACCCAGACCTCCTTGATGTTCTGGAGCAAATTGTTCGTGATCCTGCTCAAGTGCGCGATCGTCGAGCCTCTCTTCTGCAGCATTGGGAACAGCGAGCTCAAGATTTGCTCCCGTCCTCTGACTCCTTGCTCAAGCAGATACCAGATCGGCATCTGCGCCGTCTTCTTCGCGGCGGCCCAGACGGTCGTCCACTGGAAATGGGTCAGTTTTTCCACGTCGCCCTTTGGCGGGAGCTCATGAATGAGGCCAAATGCAGTGACACTGACCTGGTAGATCAGATCATGGCGGGCATGCCGATCGTCGGCGATATTGCCTCCTCCCACCGATGGAAGCCCGATCGCAAACCTCATGCGGAGCATCTCTCGGTTGATGCCCTTCGCTCGAGGGCCTGGGAATTTCGATCGAAGGTGTTAGGCGCGATTCGGAAATCTCCGATCACCGAGCACTCTCCCAAGGTCTGGGAAGGGACCATGGAAGATGTTCGAGAAGGGTCGGCGATCGGTCCCTTCTTCGACGAGGCCGAAGTCTCGGAGTTCGTCGGCGATGATCGTTGGATCCCTACTCAGCGCTTTGAAGTGGTTCAAAAGAACAAAGTCAGGGGAGTTGACAGTGCTACCTCAAATGGGATCAACATGGCGACGATCGTCACCGAGAAACTCGAACTCCCCTCGACGGACGCGAACGTGGCGGTGATCAAGTGGCTGCGCTCGCGGCTGCCGAAGTCCCCGCTACGTGGTTGGGTCCTGGACGAGCGGCGAGCCTATCGGCAGGTGCCGATCTCTCCGGCCCATCGCAAGTGGAGTGTGGTCGCTCTGAAGGATCCGGCCACGGGAAAGGTGGCGTTCTTCGTGATGGTCGGCCACTCCTTCGGCTTGGTCTCGGCCGTCTATAACTACAACCGCCGCTCGGCTGCGATTACCGACATTCTAAGGCGCGTGTTCATCGTGGCCGGCTTCAACTTCTATGACGACAAGTACGGCTTCGAGCCGGAGGCCACGGCAGATAGTGCGTTCGCGCTGGCCGAGAAAGTCCATTGGTGGCTCGGGGCCCGGTTCGATCAGCAGAAGCTCCAGCTCTGCTCGGATCCCACGATCCTGGGCGTGACCTATGACCTCGATCAGTACTTGCTCAAGATCAAGAAGTCCAGGAAGCAGGAGCTCTTCGACGAGATCTCGTCGATCCTGGAACACGAAGAGATGTCTCCCGGCCAAGCCGGGAAGCTCAGAGGAAAGCTGATGTTCGGCGCTTCGCAGCTCTGGGGGAAGATCGGCCGAGCCTTCCTGAGATCTCTGTCGGAGAGGCAATACTCCCGGAAGACGGTCAGTACGAGCCTATCGCCTGCTCTCCTCTACTCCCTCTACAAGTGGCGGACGCTCGTGATGCATGGGCCTCCGAGGCCTATCCCCAGTTCGGGGCCGCGGAAGTCCGACGTGGTGATTTTCACGGATGGATCGGCGCCGAGCTCGAACCCCAAGGATCCCTCTTCTGAGATGATTGGAGGAGTGATGTTCACTAGGGACGATCAGCCTAGGCAATTCGCCTCGGGGGTGTCACGGCAGATCATGTCGAGGTGGTTCCCCCGGAAAACCCAAATTTGCATGATCGAACTTTTGGCCGCGGTCGCTGCGATACAGACTTTCAGGGAAGAGATCCGTGGAAAGCTGGTCCTCCTCTTTATCGATTCCGAGCCTGTAGAGGCAGCTTTGATCAAAGGCTACTCTGCAAAAGAGGACGTCTGCGAGCTCGTAGGAATTTTCTGGGAGCTTGTTCTGGAGCTTAGGTGCTCTGTTTATATCGATCGGGTACCGACCGATTCGAACCCGGCGGATAATCCCTCTCGTGGTGATGTCGCTACAGGTCTGATGTGTGGTTGGATCACGGTCCTCTCGGACTTTCCGAAAGGAGTTTGAGGGCCTGGGAATATCGCTTGTCTGATGTGTCCGATCGGATGATGTTGCGGTCTGTGGCGAATGCCATGGCGCACCCCTCGGCGATCGGGGGTCCGATCGGACTTGTGAAGATCAAGTGAAATTTTGATGATCCGACTGTGGCCGACTCCCACGTTGCGGTCGCATGAAAAAGGTGCGATCGCCGATAGTCTGTTCAGTGAGGGCACCGAACGTCTGCGATCGTAGTAACTGGTCTCCTAATTATCGGTCTGGTGGGTAGGAATTAGGAGATCAGTTTCGCGATCGTTGGAACAGACTTGATCTATTTTCTCCGTGGCCATTTTGGCGATAGCCGATCGGGCCATACCGAAAAATCCCACCCTCTCCACCCTATCTGTTCTTTTCGGTATGCGGGATCCTCGCAACGACGTTGGCCTTCAAGCGCTCGCTTTCGGCGACACAGATCAGCTCTGCCGTCCCTGCGTGGATTGCGGCCTGTTCACCGGCTGCTTCTGCGACGGGGACGGCCAAGACGAATGTTACGCAGCCGTTCGGGTCCCCCGCGAAGAGTGGGCTCCCAACCAGCGCACTCCTTTGTGCACGGCTTGCGATCGTCGCCTGGATATGTGTCATTTCTGCCGAAAGACCCCCTGGGTCACGCCGCCGGCTCATCGTGATCGCGATCGTCACCAGCCGGCCGGCTACGATCACGGGGCAGATCCTCCCCTCAACTGGGATCAAGTGATGGGCGTGCCCTCTGTTCAGCGGCCGGTGCCCAAAGCGCCCCCGGCCAAAGCTCATCGCAACAGAGGCATGGATCAGCCGGTCTACTATGTGGATCCCAAGGCTGGTCCTCCACGCCAAGGCCGAGCGGCTCCGAAAGGGCGTTCTCCTTTGTTCGCCGAGCCTGCTCAGTACATAGTTCCAGGGCAGCCCCCCAGATCGCTCGACGCCGTGCCCGCTGACGTTCACATCAGCGGACCGGCTCACTATGTCATTCCGGGGCAGCCCCCGCGGCGGCTGGATCAGCTCCCGCCCGGTACGCAGCTCCCTCCCGGCACCGAGATCATGGTGCCTACGAGGAGCTCGAGTCCGCCGACCAAAGCGCCGCCGACTCCCGCCCAGATCGCGGCGTACCAGGCTTCTCGCGCTACTCCCGCTCGGACGAAAGCCAAAGCTACTCCTGATGCAGCTTTTCGTGCTGCCGAGCGGCAGTTGATCGACTTGCTCGGCGCGGCCCCCCTCGACGACGATCCGATCGAGGAGCCGTCGCCGGAGCCCGATGATCCGATCGAAGACTTTTAATTTTGTTCGCGGGGAATATCGCTTGTCTGATGTGTCCGATCGGATGATGTTGCGGTCTGTGGCGAATGCCATGGCGCACCCCTCGGCGATCGGGGGTCCGATCGGACTTGTGAAGATCAAGTGAAATTTTGATGATCCGACTGTGGCCGACTCCCACGTTGCGGTCGCATGAAAAAGGTGCGATCGCCGATAGTCTGTTCAGTGAGGGCACCGAACGTCTGCGATCGTAGTAACTGACATATATATATATATATATGTATCCTTTTGTTCGTTTTCTCTCTCTCTCTCTCTCTCGCTCTCTCCCCCTCTCCCTCTCCCTCCCTCTGCATCCAACCTCCTCCTTTGGTTCGACGTTTTCAGCTTCAAATCCGCCATCTACGTTTGCGCAGGCAGCCTGCCAAGACCAGTAATCCAACTACTTTTGTTGTGTAGCTTTAGCAGCTTGTGCCATCCGTTCCAACAGTATTTTTTTTCGGGTTGGTACCTTAGCAGTCATATACCATTGCACATCCATGCTTAAGTCCCCTGCCTGTCTGCCTATGCCATGTGTCCGAATAACCGAGAACTTCAGCACTTGGGAAACTAACATCGTCACATGTTGACACTTGAAAGGGAGGATCCCATGTTGGATTGTAGCGGAGAGTGTTAAGGCCGGATCAAAAATCAACATGGTTTCTTAAGATAATGTGGCGACGTGAGTGCTTCGGCTCGCCAGTTTATTCTTCGCGATAAGGTGGCACCCTGCGTATACACAGGATGATGTCAGCATGGCAAGTCATGTTCGTAACATGCAATATTGCGGCTCGGTGTATTTACCAGTTGCATTAATTAGCAGCTAGTGTAGCATGAGGTCGCCAGCGATAATGTAGGTAGATAGTTGTAAACCTCGGAGATGGTGCTTGCATCTCGCTCTTTGGCTTCAAGGGCTTTGGCCCCAGGGTGGCTGGCAATGTGTCAATTGAAAAATGCACAAATCGACGCAGCCGCCTCAAAACGGGCAGAAGGAACTCGAGAACACCAAGCTCGGTCCCTGGGAATGACCACTCTGGATGTGTCAGGTTTTTCTGCACTACCGCAGTTAACACTTTTCTTCTTTGCGAGCCCAGGTCATTGACTCTTGCTCTTCTTCACTAATGAAGGGGCACCACGGAGGATTAAGCATATGAACCTAACACAGATCATGTTGACCACGAAACAAGGACCAAGACGTCCAAGAGCTAGGATGCAGGACAGCCAAGCGGGTGTGACATCATTGTTATGGAAGGAAACGGAGAGAATGTTGAGCTTGGACTCAGGTCCGTGAATAACCTAACTGCACTGCTGGCAGCCAGTGCCTCACATTTTGCGACATTCTGGAAGTTAAAGCTCTGCTCTGAGTTAGCATCTGCAGGCCAAAAGTCGTGGCATGTGCGATCGTGGCCTGGTGCAGCCTCCTTGCTTCCAAGTCGTCCGCAAACGTAGTTCCATTCGCGGTTACTGTGCAGTGAACGTGACAGACCCTGCGTCACTGTCAACGACACTGGCGGCAGGTTGTGGCAGGTGGCAAGAATTTGTTGCTGGGTTTACAGAGACTGCTCGTGATAGTTTGCATTCTGTCAGTGCTCAATGCACGCGCACGTGCTTCGCAAATCAATCTTTAGTGTTCTATATCTTGGTTGTTGCACGATTGCGGGGTCTGTTTTTGAGAATAGCGGCTGGCAACACCGCAGGTGCAGTATTCGCGTTTTTTGTCTATCTTTCTCTCTCTATCTCGTTCGCGTTCTGTCTCCTTCTTCGTGTCACTGCTGCGACTTGATCCAGGATCAAGGGAAACTTGTGCAGCTCTTTGCACTGTAGTCGCTGTCACGGGAAAGATGAACGAAACGGCTCTGGCTAGCATTTGCTGCATGACAGTTTTTCGAAGCTCCCAGGCGCACGAGCTTGTCTCATTGCAAGCAATGTTACCCAAAGCCATCAGTCGCTTTGTGCGAATTCGGATCGCTGTTACCTGGCAGGCGTGCCGGCGCTCGTGTCGAACAAGGCATGAGCATCACGGAGTTCGGGAGCTCGAAGCCCTATCCGATGCTGCACTCTTGTGCTTGTCGGTGGACAGGTTGGACGCTACGCGCGACATCTGGCAGAGCTTTTCAGATGCACTTTCAAACGGCACGGTGCAGTGGGTTCAATCCTGGATTGAGTTCTCTAGGTACTGGCGGCGACTCGGCTGCGTGTCCTTGATTCTCTTGCCTCTCGCGCTCTGTCAAGGTTGAAGGTATAAAAACCCTGCCGTCTCAGGTCACGCAATCTGCTCGAAGATGTTGCGCAGGCATCCGTAAATGCACATGGAGTGCAGGGCCACACAGCTCGCGCGCACGATGGCCGACAGCTAGTCGCTGGACAGGCAGCTCCTGGCTTTGCCGTCAGCATCGCCTTGCATGCAGTGGTGGCCTCACTACGAGCTCCGGTGCCAGTTGTCTCTTTGCCAGTAACCGGTGCTGCGTTGTGCCAGGCTGCTTACATATTGGCAGAATGGCGAGGGGGCTTGCACGAGCCATACTTCGTGCGGCCCCCTGTGGTTCCTTTTCATGCTTATATTGCTTTCTGAAGGTGCATGCCCTTCTAGACAGGCTTTCCAACACGTGGCGACGTATTTGAAGCCAGCGCCAAAGTTTCTGCAAATGAGGATGACGTTGAACGCTTCGTTGAAGACCAGTGCCAAGGTTGTATAGGGAACATGTGGGGCGAGTCGATCTCAAGGACTGTAGAGAGACTTCAGAGCTTCTCGGGTACGCAGCCATTGCCACGTCCTTGAGAGGACATGACAAGCCAGGTGCGCACCTCTAGTTACACGTGCCCCCTGGGCCTCGTCAGACTGTTCAACAAGTACCCGCTGAGCCAAATCCAAGAGCAAAAGTTTATGGCAACATCTCCAGGATTCTAGGAATTCTTTCAGGCTGGCGGCCTCCGGCTGGCTGATTTGGACGAGGCCGAATCTTCACTTCCTGAACAAGTCCCTAGACGCAAAGAGAAAAGCAGAGAAGGCGCCATCGCAGAGTAGTGACGAAGTGACGTAGTGGTCGTCGTGAAAGTCGGAGTGCGGACAGTAGGGGGCGTTGGCGCAAGCATGGGCTAACCTGACATCCTACCCCCCCATGCGTTTGCAACATTTCTCAACCCAGCTACTACAGTGAGTCACTCCTGCCAGACCCACAACCGACAAAGTACCGACGAATTGCTATTGCTTCGATGAGCAACTTCCCGCGGTGCTACTACGGGCTGCCTGACGAAAGGGAGAGCCGCAGTCCATCGCTTTTGGAGTTTGTGAGCATGAGCGGGGTTGAATTATATCCAAGACAGTCTACGTTCGCTGTAAATGCCTTATGTGGTATATGACGTGTTGTTGGATTGCTTTGCCGCCGTCCAGTCCGAGTCAAGGGGCGTGCAGAATGGGGAAATAGCCGACGTGCCGGCAAGTGATCGTCGCCTTCAGTACTGCACTGCCGTCCTGAACGTTGTAGCCCTTGGAACCGATGCTGATGTGAGTTCACTCCAGGAGCGGAGAGCCTGTCCTTTCGACACGCCATGCGGGATTTAAAAAAGACTTGCAAGGCATATGGGAACACTGTCGAGACTTCCAGGGGAGGGAAGAGCAAAAACTAAGAAGCATGCGCAGGCAGCGAACCAAGATGTTAAACGCATGTGCTTTTGGGTACATCGGAAACCCGGGTTTTTTTCTGAAATGTTCGCAGATTTTGGTCAGCACTACAAAAGTTTCTGGGAGGGGGAGTTCAGAGGTTTTGTCCGCAGACATTGTATTTCAACACGTCCAACCGCGGCGGAAGAAAGCAGAAGTATGATGACGAGGAGGCTCCAAGTAAGAATACGATGATGTAATAGTCATGATAAACATTGAGAGGTGCATAGAAATAAGATGTATTTGATGACGATGGTGATCATGATGATCATGATGAACCGGAGAGAGTTCTTTCATGAACCAACACAGTAACGTTCTCAGGTTGGTGTCTTGCAACCTGGATCATGACCATGTCGGCACCGGTTCAGGCCATATCCATTCTGGTGCAGTGCAGGGCTTAATCTAACCTGTGCAATGCAATTTTGCACTGAGTATTTCGAGGCTGTGCGGTGTGCACGCTGCAGGTTGATTGCTGTTCATGTGTCCGGGATACGCTGCCGCTGTCCACCTAGGCAGTCCTTCCCCACTTCGCTCGACGTCGCACAGCGTGAGCGGATTATTGACTTGCACACGCGCGTGACGCTGAGATGTTCGGACTGCACCCCGGGTCAAAATTTGAATCCAAAGTCAGCCTGCAGAGGTCATCCTCGTGCTTTGGCGACGGCCACAACCCATGCAGCATTTCAAGGCGCCGATCCGGCGAATGCGAGGGAATCCAGCGGCTGGGTGTGTCAATAGGTTGTTTTCACTATCTGTGCTGGGGTCATTTCGTCAAGGCCAACCCGGCTGGGCCTCAGCAGTCGCAAGAAGGCAACAAAAACCCTACGCCCAAAGCCTTGCCGAGCTGCAAGTGCTTGACAAAGCCCTCATCTGCGTGCGGCCTTGCTGATGCGCCGAGGAATTGGATGCATTGGGGCCTCAAGCCCCTTCGTGTTTGGAGACCTCCATCACAATGTTGAAAAGATCCAACGTGTTGGTGCTTTGGGACGCCATCGCTGAAGCATTTGGACCTCCGCGGGGGTTTTCAGTTTTGGGAGCTTGAAAATGCTCCGAGGTCCCAATGTGCGGGGTCAAACAGTAGGTTTCTTCTCAGAGTTTTCAGCCGAAAGATAGTTCCAATTTAATGCAAGGTGCAAGAATGAGTCTACTATTGTGCCTCGGGATGTTTTCATCGTCATCGTCTAGGAACCTTGCGCATGTGCCGCCACCCGAAACCCTCAAGCGTCCCAGTCTCCCCAGGCTGCGGATTAGTGAACAAACGCACGCGCCCAAAAGCGTCCTTGCGGCCGCCGTCCGCGTACATCTCCTGGCGAGGCTCTCTTGCAGAAGCCATTGAGGCAAGGCATCCTGGACTCGGACGATTGCTGATGGAGCCGAGGCTGAGGATATTGCAGGCTTTCTCTCGAACAGGCCCTGGACAGTTTGCAGCTCGATTACGTGCCCCACCTCGCATGCCTGCAGTTTCTAGCCAGGGCGTTGTGCCTCGAGGCTCTTGAAGATTGTGGTGAGTGTGCATGAGAGCAGGTCCCCAGTCAAGGGACCTTAATCTCCCTTCTGCGCTTCTTGGCGACATCGTTGGGGATGTGCTTGTGCCGTCATGCCTCATCTCGGAAATTGTGAGAACTCAGGTTATGGGGACTTCCCTGCAGGAAGACTGTCGAACAGCAAGCGCATGCCTCATTTTGTTGATTTTGTTTGTGCAGCCAGCAGCTGCTGCTTACGACCATGCTGTGCCAATTAACTCGCCGCCAGTCTGTCAAGCAGATTTGGCTTCAATGTTGAGAAAGGGACCAGGCGCATGCTGCAGCATCCGACATCTGGAATTGTGCTGTTGTAGGCAACAGTGACAGACAGTGCACTGTTAAAAGGCTGTCAGTCTTTAAGGCAAGACCTTGGACTTGGGCCTCTCACCGGCCATGGCTCTCGCGTGCCTGTCAAGATGGCAGCGGTAGCTGGGGCAGCTGGAGGTCCTGACACATCAGTGAAGGATCGGTTCTGTGCAGCCTCTGGAAGCTGTTGGATCCTGGCCTCATGGGCATGAACCCGTGAAGGTACACAACACAGCGATAGCCAGCTGCAAAATCACTTCCAGTTGGGGGCATGCCTTGGCCATGCTGGCTCAGATCCGATCAGCAGGACTCGAACTTTCAGTTGTCAGTGGCTTGGCGCAAGGTGCAAGCTGTGGACGTACAGTGTTTAACTATGAGCATGCAGACATATGAAGACACTGCACGCCATCTTAATTCAGATTCCAGGAAAGGGGATTTTTGATGCAAGGCGTGTCACGTATTGCTGTCAGATCTGGCAGATGAGGGAGGTGCACCCAGGAAGTGATGCACCTCAGGGGGAATACGACCTAGCACGAAGCAGCACATTATCGCCAGACAGCTAACAAGAGGGAAGCACACAAGAGAGTATGATGCCGCATCGAAAAGGAGCTGACCTCGATAGTGACGCAGGCAAAATCTGAATGATTTGGAAAGGTCGGCAGGGGGCCAGACCGGACTTGACGGTGGACAAACGTCGGTGAAGCCAGACCAATTGTCTGGACAGCATATGACAGCATTCTATGCGAGAAATGCGCTTGAGGCTATCACGCCACATTGTCCTGTTTCCGACGACCAAGCCACTGGCAGCTGCAACTTGAATTGGTGAGAGGATTGTGGCTCTCTGGCCTTCAACCCAATCAGTTGTCGACCCTTGCAAGCATTCTCAGAAGAGTAAGTTGGTTTCATGTGTTTTTCGCAGACTTGACTCCCCATGCCAAGGCTAAATGCAGCTTTGAAGGTTTGCAGCTCCTCCAGTGCCCTGCTTGCAACGAGTTGCTTGAGAGTCGTGGGTGAGGCGCGCTGTTGAGGGGATGCCGGAAATCTTCGTCAGAAAGCGAGGTCAGTGGCAAAGTGCGCTGCAGCAGGGGGGGATGGCGGCGTGTGCTGGCGGCGAAGCTGCAGACGAATGCAAGACAACTTCGCCCTGTAAGATTTCGTACTTTCCATCGCAAGAGCAGGCATCCAGGAAAATGCGGCCACTCGAACCACGCTCACATCGATTCTGCGAGATGTGCAGCGTTGGCAACGTGTTCTGCTACGCTTCAGCCGGCAGTGGAGCGCTTTGTCAAAATGGCAAATACCTGTTATCAATGCAGCTTCTACAGGAAGCTGGATACCACAGGGACGAAAACTTCGTGGACACTTTACGGCATAGCGGCGCTCTAGTGATCCAAGTGCATTGGCTTAGGAAGTGTTTCCTTCGACGAAATTGAACTACGCACGGTCGTTGGCGCGGCACCTGCCTTACGACCTGCTATTCTAGATTCTTGTAGTGTAGCTTTGACAGCAGACATTCTTACCAGCACCAATCCACGCTTGCAGGTGAGTCAGGAAAGAAGTTCGTGGGCGCTTGTGAATGCTTTGCTCTGCGCTCTCCAGCAGGACCAAACGACTGTGGCCTTGCCGGACTCAGAAAGACGGTCTCTCGTAGCCGAGGACCTGCTGGAGCCAAGCAGCGGGCTGATATCCAGCGTGACGTGGCGATAAGGTTTCCGTGCTAGCGGCGCAACTTGATGCACGAATGTAAGGTTCTCGTAAACCGCGACTGCTGGCAGGCCTGCTCCTCAGCTTTCTACCCCGCAGCGCTGAAGTCACGGCTGTTTGCATTACGGAAGAGTTTCAATCCATTCCAGGTCGCGATTCTGTCGTCGCGTTCTACGAATTTGATTCTTCGAACAGCAGTGGTGGGATTGTGCGCCCGGACCGGCCAGTGGACACGCTCTTTAAGCCGCTAGCTGCCAAAGTTTGGGGGGAGCCCGTTTTCTGGAGCCTTTGCTTGTAAGTCTGAAGGTCATGTTTGGCAGATGCGCGACATCAAGTTTAGCCTCAATGACCGGACTCTCGTAGCAGCCATCACGGCCTGGAAAGCGGCAAAGCGCTGGCCGGATGCCATCGGCATGCTCAGTTCAGGGGGGAGCCTTGTGAGCCTTGACCGACAGCTCGCATGGCATGGTCTTTGAAGGCTTTTAAGCGATGGAGTCCCCAAAAAAGCAAAGGCAAACTGCGGGAGCCAACAACATCCCCTACACTGAGACCTGGTTGCAACGACTCGAGCTCGATGAGCACTGCCGTGAACCAAATCTGTCAGCTTGAGACCTAAGAAATTGCTGGGACTTTATCGAGCTGTGAACTGTCGAAGGCTTTCAGTGCGAAGGCTTTCGGTACTGCTACTGTAGCCTGACTGGGAGTGTAATCAGTTGCTGAAGCTGCAGCTCAGGCAGCGATGAGTGCTTGCGAGACCTGCACTGCTTGGTGGGCAGCCGTCAGCCTACTCCCATCACTTGCAGGCTGGTTGGTCCATGTTCGGGGAAATGACATGCTTGGTGACCCATGACATCTCGCCTGTCGCGACTTATTGGCTTGGCTTTGACACTTTGGCACGGCATACATTGCGAGGCCGCCGCGTGCCGACATCGAGCGTTACTTGCAATGCCGTCATATGTGCCCAACGCAGAAGTGGAGAGTGGTCACAGAATGTGGCCTTGCTGGAATGCATGAAGGCCGGGCCGAGGGCTGAGGGCTGCTCGGTTTGTAGCTCTGCTGAACACACGAGAAGACGAGAAGGTGATGGCCTTCCGACCGGATATGATGACCAGCTCCATCTTGCTGACTGGGGAAGGCCTTCAGCTCACTGCGTGTTTCCGGACTTTCGACCGAGACTGGGAAGGTCGGCTCGCTTGGAGCGCTGCAATCCGGCTCTTCAATTTCATGCAGTGGAGAGGAGTCAGAAGCACCTCTTGGCTGTCGCTGCTCCCTTGCTGCGACATGTTGAGTTAATGTTATCCTGCAGCATCGCACCACGAGTCATGATGGCAAAGATCTGAAGCCGCTCAGGCGGTGTGCCGCTCTTGCACGCTGGCGCATTATGTGCAGCTTGCTTGGCAAACGATGGGCGAGGTGGGCACGCACATTGGACATGGACAGACATACGTATGTAGCAGCTCGCAGAACGAGCAGTCTAGCCTGCCAGGATGATCTATGTAGCTATACAGCACGGCAGCATCCATCATTCGGTTCACACCTGCCAGGGACGCCAGCGAGGAGCAAGCCGGGCAGTTGGTTGATCTTTGTGCAGCCTTTCGGCAGGGCCTAGTAAGTGTTGCAAGCAGCGTTTTATTCTTCGCGGCAGCGCTTGGAGAGGTAGCGAGGTAGAAGGCTTCAAAGCCAAAGCAGTGTATAGCGTTGACTTATATTTGACTCCGACGAGGAAGCCTCGTGGCGTCTCGGAGCTGCCATGGTCGTCGAGGCTGCGAGCTTCTCTTTGCGTCCAAACCTGATGACTTCCACGCCGATCGTGGCTGCGGCAGGGAGGACCTGCTCGCCGCCGACCATGGTTGAAAGCATGTCGCCGGTCGCTGTACGCGTGTCAGAGAGGACCGGTGATTGGCAGATGTCCCTAGTCTTCCTGGCCGAGGCGCCGCGAACTCTGATAACGTCGGGTTTTCGATGTAGCAACAGCTTCACTGAACTGATAGATCGTCGAGATCAAGCCACCGGCTGTACCAGCAAATGTTCCGATGGATTGGATTGAACTGCTCCGCTGATTCACCTCAGGCCTCGGACAGGGTGGACTCCGTAGCAAACTGCGCTGCTGCAACTTCCTGCACGGCTTCAACATATTGGAGGCTTGGCTGCAAGGAACCCACGAATTCACTTGTGCTTCTGCAGCTCGGTATCTTGATTTGGCGAGCCGAAGCTACAGAGTCCACAGCCTCCTTGCCCATCTCTGCCCGCAGCAGAGATTCGTTAAGTTTAGCCGCTGGCTTCCCCCTCGCTTCCCCGTGGCACAAGGTGTTTGTCCATATCTGGCACTCGTAGATCCTCTTCCCTTTTCCGGCAAAAGCATTGCGCACGTCCCTAGCCGGACAGTGTCCTTCAGGTCACATGCTCTTGGGCTTCTTCGCTCGGTGCCTTGCACGCGGCTACCTCTGGACATTGCAGGCTCCAGGGAACAACGCCTTCATTCATTTCCTTTCTTGGAAAATTTTTCCTGTGCCTACAGGTGAGAGCGCCACTGCAATGGCTCTGGAAGCTGGATCTGCGTGGCAGCTATTGATACAGCAGATTGGACAAGTTGCTCGAAGCACATTTCATTTCTACCTTCTTCATTCTTCAGTTGAGAAAAGGGTTGTTCGGTCCGTGCCTCGGGTTGTCGAAACCATTCTTGCATTGCCTTTGCTTTATAAGGCCGCGTGGCTGCGTGGAGACATTGGTTTCTGCTGCTCTGTGTCTGGAGCGTGTGAGAAGAACTCTGGCTAAGTTTCTCTTTCACGGTGTAAATGAAAGCGATTTCCTGGGCCACGCTGTGGCCAGCTGAACTGAGCGCACGAGTGACAGAATGAGAGAGTAGTTTAGCCAAGTTACGTGCTTCAACGAGATCGGTACTGCTTTGAATCATGGCGCGCCTCTCTTTCAAATGCCATACCGAGTCGTGCCTGACAGCGGACATTCTCCTCCCTCTTGAACCTCACCCGTTCCGCAATGTTCGGTCCGGCCCCACGTTCTTGGCCTTTGAAACTTGCAGTTGGCAATCGTTGCATGCTTTCAGAGGTTTTTTTCCTCGTCGAAACCTACACAAGATTCGTGAATCGCGCAGTCTCATCTCAGCTCATCTCAACGGGCAGGAATCGGCCCCTGCGGACTTCTCACAGTTCAGAGGCGGTGACCCATCCCATGCAGCCTTGCGACCATCGGCTGGCACACCGTGGCCTCAGGGGGTGCTGACGTATGCACCCAGCGGCACCGGCACCGGGTTCGGGCGGAGTGCGCTGCCGGGTGCGGTCCGGGCCACGACCAAAAGGGGGTTGGCCAACACGTCGCGAGCATTGGACTTGGATTTTTACGCAACCACAAACAGGCCAAGGCATGTACCGTACATCTGCGAACCTACATCTGCTTCGTCGCAGCTAGCAGCCAGTTGCAGTCTGAGAGCCTCGAATCTGGGACAACACCATGAAGCATGCAAAGTGTGATCAGAGATCAGCCGTGAAATTTCTATAACTTTCTCATCAGTCCCACTTGCAGAGGTGTTTGTCCATGTGCTCACGCGTCGAATGAGTCGGTCACGTTCACCGCTGCCGACCTTCGTAGGCTGCAGCCGTCCACTCACAGTTCCCTCCCAACATGCGAAGCCGAAATACGCACCATCCGACCAACCGTTCCGTGACGGAGACGATGCCGGCGGAGTTGTTTTTCGCGATCATTGAAAGGAATTGCCTTTAGAACGAAGGCTCTTATGTGCAGAAATGTCGAGGGCGAGAGGTCCCTCCGTTGAAGACTTCCACAGGGCTGAGATGCAACAATCGCGCCGTGCCGTTCGTCCACACGGAAATAAATGCCCGTAGGGTGTCGCCGTCGCTGCTAGCACTAGGCTTCGTTACGAAGCTGCGGTCTACCTCATACTTTGCAAAAGGCGTGCAGTGAATTTCACGGCTCAGGGCCAGCAAGTGGGCGAAGGCTCTATGGATGGCAACGCATTTCCATTGGCTCCGCGTTTCGGAAAGAATTGCCTCTTGGATTCTTGGAGATGTGCCAGTCAGCGAGTCCATTGATTTGAGCTTGTCTGCAGTCAGATAGCCAAAGATTGGCAAGGCATGCAACTCGTGCTTAACATCTTGCAGACGCAGCGGTTGCTGGGTCGCGAGGCTGAAGTCTCAATTGCAGCAGACCAGGCATGGATTCATCGGAGTGCTTAGGAACTAACATTGCGAAATTGGATTGGTTTCGAGGACGGGTTTCAAGCGCCATAGCCGCATTTGCGCAGACTCGCCCACAATTTGAGCGCACAGCTCCGCCTAACAGAACTTCGCACAAGGACATTTTGACCTTGGCGTTGGGTGTTGACCTGTTGGACAAGTGTGGCCGCATCGGGGAAGTGGCTGAAGCTTGCGAGACCTTGCAAACGGCTGTTTTCGGCAGACTGCTGGCGACAGTCGGAAAAGGAATAGCGATTTGAGATCTTTGGTTGTGCCTGGTCCATGGTGTTACCGTGGGGATGGGGGGGGGGGGGGCGGGTCAGACCAAAAATGAGTTCACTGCCGTTGTCAGGTGGGATGTGGTTGACAATGACGCTGAGCTCATGGTATTTCTCGAAGGTGCATTCATGAGTCCCCGAAGTTTCAGCGATGAGAAAGCCACGGGATTGATCGTGAGCTTGAAGGCACGTTCTGGAGAGATGAAGGTGCCAGAATTTCACTGGAACTGCAGGTGGCCGTCAGCAGGAAAGTCTTTGCGAAGGTTCTGCTTCTTGTTGCGACCTGGGTCACAAAGGCTCGTGATTGGCCACCATGTCTCTTGCAGTCTTGTCCCCAGCTTTGTTCGCTGTGAGACAGCGGACGTGTACATTACGTGACTGTCATGTTCACGTAACCCTAAGGTTTTATCGGAAGCTGGTGTGTATCAGCGTGCTGCCGAGTCTGCTGAAACACAACCGATCCACAAGTGTTGCTGCTCAACCTCAGCATGCTACATCATTCGCCAAGCGAGGCATGTCACATGGGTATCCTGTCAAGCTCGAGTTCTATTTCTTCGGCAAGGCGATAAGCGGTGAGCAAGATTGATGTGTGTGCTCTGTCTTATCTTCGGGATCCGGTTGAATCATTAAGGTGCAGTGAAGTTGACTTAGTTCATACCAGCTACATCGTTTGACACTGTGTTGTCCCATCGTCGGTGTTGCCTCGGGAGACAGTCAGCATGATGTTATTTACCGCGGCATTGGTGGCGGATGGCGAGTTTGGTGTGTAATGTAGAGCATTCCGTGCAAAGTTACAGTTCAATCGCTGAGTGAACATGCTAATTACGGTTTGGTCTTCGCGGCATTGAGGGTTCAGGATTCAGGAGTTGACGGGGTTGGTGCTTTAGCGTGGGTTGATGAGTTTTGGCTGAGGGTTCCATGGAGGGGGATGAATGTGTGAGCGGTGGGAGGTGAGGGCTTCTTCAGGTGTATCGTTTAGGGCCAAACTCTGAATCCTTGACCCTGGCAGCACCGCGAGTAGCATGGCGAGGTTTGCAGCATGGCCATATATTCGGCGGCGGTGTAAGGTTCTGGCTTTGCACCATGTGCAGCAGTAACCTGAGCCCTCAACCGGCAGAAGGCAGGAGTCGGCACGATCGCTGATCCCGGTCAGAAAAGTTTCGCAGGGTCCAACACATGCTCTTGCGAGCACCGGCATGGAGGACATCGCATCCGGAACCATCTCCAATTCACCCGACAAGGAGGACACATGATGGTTGCACATGATCAGAAGTATGTCAGGTTTCTGACAAGTCGAGGAACTTTGCAGGTTGGGTGCAGGGATCAGTGATCAGAGCTTCGGGATCACATCAAAGCAGCGGGAGCAGAGCTTGTGTCTCAAGCTTGGGAAAGAGACACACGCAAACATGCATTTCGCAGCAAGGTTGGCTTTCTTGTCGGGGACATGAGGAGTACCCTCCTCTTGTACGCAAACATGCAATGTACATCGGTCTTGAATAGACAGGGAGTGCCAACTTCGCGATTTGATGCAAGCATGGCAGAATCCGGGTTTTTACATGGAGACTTCAGGGCAGCCGGATCTGAAACTAGCCAAGAGTATGTGATTCTCCCTAACAGCAGCCAGTTCACTTGCCAGGATGTTGGAAGATATCCGCTGCAGGCATGGGGTGGGCAAGAACCCAAGAAGTATCCTTTGTTGAGAGCTCTAGGTATAGCGTGACACATTGATAGTTTCAAGCTGCAGGGTCGCAAGGTGGCTTCGAAGGTGCAAGGTCGGCCGATTGTTTTGAGACGAGGCAGATGCCGATGGACATTGCTCCATGCTTACAGGGCTTTCAGTGCTCAGCTGCCATGAAACGACAGACATTGGACTGGAAGTCCTTGCTGTTGCATCTCCAGGTGTACCCCTTTACAACTTGCCGCCTGGGCGAAACTGGAAGGCCTTGGGCTGTTCAATTTGAGTATTCGTTGGGCAATTTGAGGACTTGTTGAGTTGCGCGACCTTATTCGAGGCCGGTGAAATGCCCTGCAAAGGCGTTTGGGGCTCGCCCACAGCCACCTCAATTCCGTGGAGTGTAAATTCTTGCACTGCCGAGGATGGACTTGTTGTACCACTGGAATTCTGTAGAAGGTGTTGGCGAGTACGTGAGCGATAGCCTCAGTCAGACAGCTGAAACGTTTCCCCATCGCGTCACTTTCCGCCAGGAGACAGCAGAGATGCTTTGGTCAACATGCCAGGCCGTGTGCAAGCTGCGCCTGCGTTTCTGCAGCTTGTTCGTGTAATCCCCTCGGCAGGCAAGAACGGGTTGCCAAAAGAAGATTGGCAGCAACCTGAGCGTTTCAACACAATGCACTGGAGTTGCCAAGCTGAGCTACACTATGTTCGAAGGTGCATTGCGCTGCCGGTGGTGACGCAAGACCGTGACTTCTCAGACCCGCGGAACTCAAGGCCCAATTCCTTTGAGGAGGATTTCGCTTTTAGACCATTTGTTTCTTCGAGGCTCATTGAGCAAGGCCTAAATGCCGAAGACCTTCGGCTTCTGGAAGGACAGTGTTCAACAACTGCCAGCCATCACTCGAACTTGCTGGCCAATGATGCTTTGTGCAGGATATGCTGATGCTCTGCGCAGCCCCGATCTGAGATGGAATCTGGATGTTGAGAAGAGACATGAAGAGACAGCTGATAACACATCGCACTGCACATGTACGGTCGGTAGCGTTGCTCCACGTTGACTTACGAGCAGTTGTCGGCAGTTGTCGGTCTTGCCTTCAGGCTCCTGCCTGATTGAGGCCTTTGTTTTCATTGTGTGCCATTTGTAAGCCAACCTGAGAAACCAACGGACGACGATGACGATCTAGTCGAAGGCAGTTCAGTCGCGGCAGCGTCCCCGTCCACTGAAGAAACCCACAGTGTATCGCAATGTGAATTTAACACGCATTCACGTGGCAAAGTTTCAGTTCCCTTTTGCAGGGCTCGAATGGCTCAACTGAATTGCATTTTGTCTTTGTCGGGTCTGTTTGTCTTTCCGGGACAAGCAGCAACGATCAACTCGTGGGCAAATGTCGCACGGCCGAGCGACTGGTTTAGAGGTGACAGAAAATGCTTAGTTCACCCACCCCGTTGCACCTGCATTGATGATGTCGCTCAGTGCCCGAGTAGCAGACTACTGCCGCAGTCGTCGAGGAGACGGTTATGCATCTTTCGCGAAGCATTTGCAGGATGGGTCGGTTGCCAAGCTGTTTGCATGGTCCACGGTACCACACTGCTTGTCGGCTGCCGTCGTTCAGCAAAGCGGCCTGTGCACAGCGAAGGTCGTGTCAACGACGGCAAGACAGTATTCTACGTGGAGATCAATTTGCCACCCGGTAGAGAAGAGTTCTGTTTCTTGTGGTTCTGGTGGGTGGTGCAGATTTCGCCGATGAGAATTCAAAAGATCGAGCAGGTTGCATTTTAGTCACCGAGGTTGGGCTCGCTGCAGGAGGGGGTAAGGTGCGAGACGACAACCATCCGGGGTTCGGTTGAGCAGATCCACAGCCAGCCCTGCGGGTGTCCGGGCCACTGGTGCAACTATGGGCCGTGCAGCACTCGCGGTCGTGATTCGTGAAGGAACTGGACGTTGATACACAAAGGTGGCAAGGAGGACGGAGGAGGACGGGCTGGCAGCTGCAAATGGTCGCCCATCGGGAGGAGTTATCGCAGACACGACCAGACGATTGTGTTGGAAGCGAGCTCCGGAAGACCGGGACAGCATAGAAGAAGATGATCCATGATGAGCGCGGGAAGCTGGGCGGACATGCAGACTCAGGACAAAAGGGACGCACCACGGAGCTTCACGGTGTTTGCTGTTTAGCACCACTGAAACCATGCGCACGACACGTTCGAGAATGCTGTGCTAAACTCGAAGGTAAAGCACACAGGCACGGAGCCGCCTGGCATACCGCAGACATGTACAGAAAGCAGGTCTCCACCTGCAGGCTCAAGGTGCAAAGGTGGCTGTTGCGGCTGCAGGCTGCAGGCTCGGCGGCTCGACTCTCCTCACGACACGCATATCATGGCGACATTGCGAGGGATGGAAGACTTTTTTTTGTCCCTCTTCTGCCTCTGCTGCCCTCTGCTTCGGCATTTCGCGGTCGCAGGGCCATGGCGCCGAGGCGCCGGATGGTCGCCATCGCTTTGCTGGGCACAGGTGCAAACGGAGTCTGTCGGAGTGTCAACCGATGCCTTTTGCGCCCAGGAAGCTGCTGGGTGATTTGCCAGTCTAGCAGTTGTTCGCGGTGGAACTCGCAGGTCTTCTGCCGGCCATCTCTTGAGAATACGGATGTGTGTCTGCGTGTGTATTGGCCTGTCAGGGCGGCGTGCCTTCGCTTCCGTCGCAAAAGTTTCAGGCCAAGCTCACAGCTTACGCGCAACATCAGCTCAAAATTCGTAGGAGCTCGTTGGTTGCATGCCAGGCATGTTTTTTGCTGGTGGTGGTGGTAGCAGGGTGCAGGAGATGTGGGGAGATGATGAAGACATGTCAATGTTTTTGCCAAGCAAGCAGGAGAAAACAGGTCAGATTGCGACGCTGCGATCATTTGCTGTGGTGCCATGTCGCGACTCAGGGTCCAACGATGACCCATTTCGCTAGCCTGGCCGTCGTTGGCAGCGCGATCAGGCAGGGCTGGGCCACAGCACCTACATGACCTACATGACTGAACTTCCTCAGCCCTAGGAGGAGCTCAGGAGGATCCGCGGTTCCTCGTCCTGACCGTGACAGTGGGTTTTTTTGCTGCTGTCAGGCAGGTGTTCTTCCATCGACCTTGCACTTCGGCTTCGGCAGCTTCGCGAGGGCGAGTTGCTCGGTCTGCCAGTTGCCAGGCCGCATCTGATGATCGGCAAGGGAGGAGTTTCGACCTTCGTAGTTTGGAGTTCTGAAGCAATTGAAGAGGCCTGGAAGAGCGTCAATTATTGAATTGTCGATTCTTGTCAGCCGTCGCTTTTGTTGAGGCTTCAAATTACTGGGACCGGAAGGTCCCACTGTCACAAGCTCAGAAAATTTCAGCTATCCCATCTTTGGCTTCTGTCGAGTTCATTTGCTGCCTCGGTGATGCTGGCTGAGGTATTGCTTAGCAGTGCATTGATTGGCTTATCCACAGGCTGCCCACCAACGTTGCCCGCGGTTGTGTGTGCTGCTGCGCCTGATTGATGGAGGTTTTGCCGTGGTTCTCTTCGAAGGATTCATCACCAGTCTCGAGGCGCTTTTTGTCTTTCTCAGCGTGTTTTTGGAAGTGGCAGTGAGTCGGTCAGATTAGCAGGAGCTGCGTGAGGAACTTCCAATACCAGTGCTGGCTCCCATCCTTGGTGCCTGTGGCCAAGACTATCAGAATCGCACCTATTCATTGTCTTTGAGTTGCTTTTGGCTTGTGCTCGCTCGGACTGGCGCTAGGATGTTGCATTTTCCATTGGCAGTGTTGGGCATGTGTTAGGCAGTACTTGTCGTGTTTGTCTCAGGTGCACTGGCACTGGCAGCCCTTGTCGCGGCATTCGGTGGCAAAGATGGCCTTGCGGGCACTGACATCAAGTCCTTGCTGCTCCCTTAGCATAGCATGTGCTCGACCCTGCTTCCGGTCATTTGCACCTGTCGAGGAAATCCTATGCAACGGCAGGCGCGGGATGGCTGTTGTCTCCTGTGACACCCCACGGACCGACGGATTCGGGGGACAGTCGGAAGTCCATGTCTGTGTTTAAGGTGGGCCGGAACCACCATCGAATTGGCCGCTGAGGGCCGGAGCAAATGCCTTGCTCAGTCCCAAGATCTGAGACGACACGACAAGAGTGACGGCGGCTTTAAGCACAAAAGGTATTGGCACATTTTGCAGCAGCAAGTGTAGTACCCTGTAGGTGCAGTCGGAAAAGTGGTAGCAATAGTTCAGATGACACTTGTAGTGCTGGTGCCAGCACCAGGAATCATAATCGCAAGCTGGTGCCCTTTATGTTCCTTTATAACAACAAGGATGATGGTATTGACCAGCAGCAATCATGATCATGACCGTCACAAGACTTGCCACGACCAGGGTCATGAGGATGTTGGCGACATGAGAAGGTTCGACAAGGATCACAATACGACGAGATTGCCAAGAAGGGCGAGGCTGATTGACAGGACAATGTGTCAACACTTGTGCACAGACACTGGCGATATCGGGTGAGCAAGGCGGGAGCTGCAGTGAGGACAACGCAAGTACACTGATGATTCATGGAAGCTACATCTCTGGTGTTGCTGCCATGGTGGGAATGAGCGTCGTGTTAACTCCGATCCATGACAAACAAACGTACCATTGATGGTGTGTTGCCGAATGATGCACGTGGCATTGGCCATAGTTCATGATGCATGTCTGCGACAATGTTTTGGCTCCTTGGGCCATCAACTGGCCGGTACGGCAAAAGTAGAACCTGGTGGGTGGTGACGACGACACGGCGATAACTAGGACTATTCAATGGAAGATGATGGTTGTGGTGATATGGGATTTTGATGATGAGGATGTCAATGTCGATGACGATGATGATCTCATGAAAGATCGGCCCTGGTCGTGGTGATTCGGTTGGTCGGTGGTAGTCGTGGTCGTTTAGCAGTGCTGCTCGCCGGGATGAAAGATACGACAGCAGCAATAAATTTAGAGACACCAAGAGTAGCAGCTCCGAAAGTGGTGAGAACCAGCGCTTGGGGACAGGTGCCAAACATGGCAGTCATCAGTTAATTTTTGCCTTAGAAAATGGAGCATTTCTTTGCCAAGTCGTGTCAGCGCAGCCTTGTCAAGGTCCGCCGCGATTACCCTTGGCTCGGGCAATTCCCTGGGCCCGGAAGCGCCTGCAGCAACGCTGGGCCTGTAGCTTACCAGCACATCCAGAGTATTTTTTGACCGGACCTGACCTCGTTCCACTTCGTCAGAGGTGCTAATGTGGCGTTTGGGCTGGGTCAGGCCTTCGCCTTCGCAAGCTCGTGGCAAACTTCTGAAGAGATGTGGTAAGCTGCATGAATACTTGTTTGTCCCGCATTACTTGTATGCTTCAGTGGCCACAAGGCTCGAGTCTCCCTACTAGCAGGTTATCCATGCCTCCTTTTGACATGTGGCTTCGCTGAAACAGCAGGTGCGTAAGCCCTCCATGGAACTGCCGTAGCATCTCCGATTTTGCGTTACCGCTCTCTACTCGCTGATTCGGTTTCGGAGGTGAGAGGAAGGCCTATGGCATGGCTTCGGACCGTCTGGTGTGGCTGAACTCAGATGCCGAGCACGGCTTTCACAGAGTAAGATCCACTCGGACACATATCACAGTTGCCCAGGTTTGGGCAGCCTTTGTTTGGCCTGGGCAACTTCCCCTCGCCTGATGCGCCGAATGCAGAGTGGGGCGGCACCACTCCCGGCGTTGACAAGTTGCAAGTTGGAAACATTGATTTTAAACGCTACTTCGCCATTCTCAAGTCAAGAGCTGTGTACGTTCAGGAGGGGGCCTTCTTGGAGAAGGTCAGTCGGGTGGGGGCCTCAAGTGGTCTGCAGCACATCTAGAAGAGAGTGGTTCCGACGAGGGGCTGCGGGTCGATGATCACCATCCTCCTCCCTGCCGTCCCTTGTTGGCACGCGGGGACCTGGTGCAGTGGATTCTAAGCAGACGTTCCGATCTCGGCCACAGCATGTATCAGCAGGCGTCGTCGTGCAATTCTCTGCATGTACAATCTGGTAGTTGTTTTTCATCATACACAAATTTTGCCTTCAACTGCGAGTCATCAAATATCGCCTTATCCTACAATGCGTCACAGTGCCTTTTCTATATCCTTATACTGCACGATCTGTCATTCTAGGTCTTCAGGTATTAGTTCTTGTTTTGTATGAGGTTACATTAGACTCGGGTTGAAGGAGTGCACGCATCGCAAGGTTGTCATGGAAACAGGTTTTTGTCTCAAAACGGCGCTATGTCCATGTGCTGCGGGACTTGCGAAACCACAGATGACACAAGCGAGCCGCCGAAGCATTGATTTTCCAATCGCAGTGTCCAGCCGCTCTCGTGATGCGTCGTTGCCCGCTAAAGCTGCGATGCGCAGATTGATAATTGCTTGATCCTTAAACCACTTACTTGCATTGAAAAGCGTTGTACAGCTGGGCGATTCCTTGTCACCTGTATCATCGACAGATCGAAGATTGTGAGAGATCCCATGCTTGGAAACGTCAGCTTCCACTGCGCATGATTGCTGCGAGTAAAATGTGTGACGCAGCATGGTATTGAGTGCATGCAGACTTGACGTGGCGCCGTGGGTGGGTTTGCGCTGCTTTGCTATGACACCGATGTTCTGAAGTCTCAAGCGTCATTGAAATTCGTTTCATCTTTCTTGGTTTGGTCCTGCTTGTATTCAATCGTATCAGTTGGTACATCTGCTTCGCGATGATGTTCTTCTATCTAGCGTCAGGTCTGACTTGGAAATTCCAATCGCACTTCAACTTCATTGTCCTGTGGTGTTTTTTGTCAATCGGCAAGTGCGAATGAAGGCACCATGCTGAAAACAACACCAACACAGCTTAGCGATGCAGCAAAAGTTCAGAGTTGTGGTGCATGCGGTTCAAGCCTAGGTGAAGAGTATACATGCGATGCGGACAGGGTCAATGCGAGTCTGCACAGATCTAAGAGCCGCATTGCAGTGCCTCTTGGCGAATTAGATGCTTGGCGGACCGTAACCGACGTAGCGGATGTACAAATCACACAACAGCGTAAGTCTTAAGTTCAGTTCTTTGAATCGCGACTGGTTTTTGAAGGTACACATACAATATTGGTGGCTTGACGGCACAAGTGTTGCTTGGGGAATTTTGCCGATCGACATCTCAGCATGCACGCGCCCTCGTGCCCTTCCTTCCTCCGTTACTGAGGTGGCTACGAGGAGATGCGCGGTGACTACATTCCGTGTGTCCCGTCGCACCTCGATGCCTTCCTGTACCTCAGCTGCAGTCTGCTGCAATTTCTTCGTGGTCCCACGTAGTGTTTTGACAGTTTTTTCAGCGGAGGTACTTCGGTTGTAATAATGTCAGGGTGCTCTTTCTTAAATGTGGCTCTAATATACTTCATGCTTGTAAACGGTTCGTGTCGTCCGCCTCGGCGCGGCTGCAAGTGAAGAGGGTTGCTCGGCTGTTTCCCGCAGGCGGTGTTGGGAGAGGGCGGCGGGGCGAGGGATGGGAGGAGCGGAGCGTTTCTGCCCAGACTGCCGACCAACAACCGAAATCCATTGGAGGACACGGAGCTGGAGCACTTTTCGCTGGGGCCTGCGAATAATTACGCGCGCCCCACTCCTTTTGTTTTTTTTGGGGCACACTTTTGTGCAAAACAAACACGAGTGGCGGAGGTTTGCAATGTCCCGTTTGGTGTTGCCGAGCCGTGGGGCGGCTGGAGAAAGCCAACCGGAATAAAGCGACATGAATGACCCGACCCGACCCCTGAATTTCCATATGTCGAATTCATATACTTTCACTGGGTTCTCAATTCAGGTATCGGTATGTGTATGTACGGTTTGATGGGATGGCTGGGTGGATGGATGGATGGACGGATGGATGGATAGATGGGACGGACGGACGGATGGACGGAGATGGACGGAGATGGACGGAGGGATGGATGATGGATGGATGGATGGATGGATGGATGAATGAACGAATGAATGGATGCATGAGTAAATGGATGGCCCTCGGTGCCCCCCTTTGGCCTATGGGCCTCTGGTAGCTCTTGGTGCCTTCTGGTTCCCTGGTGCCTTGAGCTGGTGCCTCCTGCTCCGTCCTGGTGTGGGTATTTCCTGGCGTTTGTTGGTGCCAATTGGTGGCTGATATTTTGGATCAAGGTTAGTAGTTGGACGAAGAGGTTATAGATGAATGGACATCTTAATCACAACAACAGATGAATGCGTGACTAGATGTAAATATGGATGAACAGATGCTTGGATGTACGGGTGATTACTTTTATGTTGAAACGACGTACTATGTATAGATCTGTGCATTCATGATACAGAATTAGTGTCGATATTTTCTGTCGATACTTTAGTCTCCTTGTTTCTTTTACTTGTAAAGGCTTTCGGGACGCCATGGCTGTGCGTTTTAGAGAGTTTTGCAATCGCAATCTCGTTGATGTTTGTGTTGCGGACCTCATGAGTCCTAAGGTTTATAGATGCTGGGGGCCGAGCTTCAGCATGGTCTGTGGAGCAAGTGACCCTTTGTACAGCCCACGTCCGAGGAGGTTGGTCAGAGACGTTTTGGCAGCACGGCGTTGAAGAAATGGCAAGAGCAGGGATGGCGTGTCGTGAACTTCACGCAAGTTGAAGGCAGGACAGCATCAACAACAACGTCTATCCAGCCATCTATCCTGGCAGGAACCAAGTATGTGTCGAGTGCCAGATTGACGAGCAAATCATTGCGACTCGGCTTATTGCTTGATGTAGGGATTTGATGCTGTCCTTGGTGGTGAGGAAATTCGCACCACCTGCTTGGTTGCTGAACGGTGCCTCAGCGACAGAATATCTGATTGATGTATTCTTTATGCAGGCGGCATGTGTCAGTCAGGTACCTGGCATTGGTTGGTTGAGTACGATGGCAACATCGTGGTAGACTTGCATAGACTTGGACCCTTTCTGCGAAGGCGGAGAGAGCAGGCCTTGGCTCCGAAGCCGCACTCTGCAGAAGCGTGCAGTGCGCATCGCATCGTGCTGTTCCTCCTGATTCTGACATGACCACCGAGGTTCTGCTGAACTGGGGCTACCACCAGGACTGCACCGATGACAGCTTCGACTGCTTTATGACGGAAGTGACCAGCATGCTCACGGAGAGGGTCCAATACGCTGCTTGAATGCCAGCGGTCCCAGGCCAGACCGCAGAATTGCGTCGCAATGCTCTCAATGCTACTGAGGTTGCTCGCTCGAGAGAGAATGTTCTGAAATGGAAAGCAGCTTGACTCATTGTTGGCGGTGGAATCCACAATGCAGGGCACAAGTGGACGACTCGCGTTCGTTCGTGCGCGTCGCATGGCCGCGAGGAACTCCTAGAGCAGATGCACCAGGGCAGACTGACGCACGGAGGCCGGAATCTGGGCTGCAGACCACTCGCGGGCTTCTATCTAGAGTGCTGCACCAAAACGTTTCTTACCACGTGTGCCAATTGTTCCAGCAAAGGAAATATACGCCACCGAACTACTATGAGACGAATGCTCCGAACTTGTCGCCCATGAGTGGGATTGGGCATTCCTTCTTGCCTTCGCTAAGGTGATTTTTCGCAACCTGAAGCATGGTAAAGCCCACAAAGTCAGAGAGACTTTGCTGCCCTAACTTTCGCAGATCACAATCGAATCAATCACAGTGCCGTGCGACAACAGCGCGAGACCTGGTCGAGCATGTCTCAGGATGCTTTTGAGAAGACTTTCCTGAAATGCCACGAGATCCAGCGGGATCAGTTTGTAGTGCCTTTCTTTCTCTGGTATCTCGGCCAAAACCAAGCCGTGCCCTGACTTGTGCTGAGTCCGATGCCGAACTGAGGCAAGATGGGCTCGATCAGGATACAGAGGCTGGGAAATTTGTGATCGATGTGTGATTATTTTCATGCTGTTTATTGCGACACCGCTGCGTTCCGATTGACAGGCCGCTCCCATCGAGACCCTGGTTGACGAGATCGGATACTGCATGGTGAGCACGCGTGTGGGGCGAAACTAAGCTGAGAAGCAAACGACACGCAAGAGTCAGAAAAAGCCGTCGTTCGTGGCTGTGAGGGGGACAGGTGCGCAGCAAGCGTCCATCAGCCATTTGTCCAGCAGGTTTTCTCGATCTTTGGTGCACAGGCTGCTGCCGAGGAGTGTCTCCCGTGATGTCCTCTGTGTCGGTGACTGACGTGCATTTCAGGAGACCGCAGAGACTGGGACATTGACGAGCGAGGAGGCCTCCAAGTCGTCCTCACTTTGCGTAAAGCATCATAGTAAAGCTCAGAAAAGGACCGCGAGCTGATCGAGAAGGCGCTGGAGGGCTCCAAGGTGGTGGCCAGCTTGCCGGGAAAGGCGCTGAGACGGGGTGAGTAGGGGCTCAGTCTCAAGGGTTCCTTCAACTTTCCAAGCATCCTGCTGCAGGAGTTGGACCGCTTGTTGAAGTACTTCCAGAAGGCGCGCTTGATCAGTCTTACGGGCGGGTTCCAGGATGATGTGCTCTTCATGGACAGGTGACGCTCCTAGAAGGTGACACCTTGATGAAGCATGGTGACGAAGCATAATGCTCAGAAAGCTGCCAGCAGAACTGGTGGCAGCGAAGGGCCGGCTTGCAATCGTGTGCTTTTATCTGTTTGCATTGATGGACAGTTATCCGGCAGTGAGGTCAGTGATGATGAACCTGGTCTTTTCGTCACGAAGCTTTGCCAAAGTCTTCCGCAGCCTTAGGACCTTAGGAACAGGTCTGAAGGTTTTCAGCGAGATATATGCCTTGATATGCAGACCAGGAAAAGCGGGCTGTTGGACGTCTATGTTCCAGATGGTGAAAGCGAGAAGAAGGCTTGCCCCATGCTACTTACAACCGATGTGAAGTCAATGCGGAAGATTCGTTGGTTTGTCACGATAATTATGTCTCAGCCGCAACTCTCCGGTGAGGTGGGTTGGCACTCGCCAGCAAGCTGTACACTCTCAGTCATGCAAGACTGCAAGACAAGACCGTAAACCAAGCAACACCTCGGGTTTACAACCAAGGCCGATCTAGAACTTTCATCAAAGACTGCGCTGTCATACTACGAGAGTATGTCGTGAAGGAAAGTCGGTAGCCACAAAGTCGCCCTCCAGAGTGATGTATCGAGTGGTGGAGTCAGGAAACCTACAAAGACGGTACGAAGAGCTGAGTCCTGTCATGAACCGCACAGCCCCACGCATTCATACCGCGCTGATACCTGCAAGGTTTTCACTAGTTTCGGTCAGCCAGATGTTTCTGCTGAGCTGAGAACGAGACATTGGAGAAGGCACTCGTTATAGTCGGGTAGGACTTGTCGAGGGACAGCTCCCAAGCCTACGCAGCAGAAACAAAATCGAAGTCCAGTAATCTTGTACAAGAGTTTGTCAAGTGACAGGTCTTCACGTACGAGACGAGCGGGGCCGTCGTTGGTGAGCTGGCTGTGCTGTTTCGAGCTCCCCGTGCGGCTACGGTCAAGGCGGCTCGGAACAGATGCTTGGGCCACAGAATCTGTCTTGATCGCGCAGGCTCGCACGGATGCCGTGCTCTGGAGCGTGGACCGTAAATCTTTCGAAGCGTGCGGTGGTCGTTCCGAAGGCTCGATGGCAAGGACCGCTTCTGCATCCGCTCCGGGGGCATCATCATGTTGCGTGGTCGGCTTCCTGCGTCATGGCCTTCCCAAACTTCCGCTTCCAAGCGAAGTAGCATGTTCGACAATGTTCGATGCTCGGCCACACGTTTGTGTGTGGTTTCTACTAGAATGCTGCAGCTCTGAACCTGCACAGCATTGCTGGTTTGCTGTTCGGTGTTGGATTGGTTGCTTGTGTTTTTTCTTGATTCATCTGTGCTCGTCCTGAGAAGCACAAGCCTTTCTCTGTGCCAGTCACTGAGCCACATTGAACAAGTTTTTTAATCCTACAGAAAGGACCCTTGTCTTCAGAGCCTTCCTAGAATCTCAGTTCCAATTCCGGGACGGAATCCGGAGAACTCTGAAGGCAAGGCTCAACCTTGGTGCATTTCGGCTTCGAATCAATTTTTCGATCACCGGTTTTGCTGGCGGATGAAGTGTTAGAGATGGCCTCCGAATGCACAGATGCACGAAGAAGATAGGATGAACGTTGCAAACACGATTCCGCAAGAACAAATGACAAGTGCCGACGAGGATGAACCAGAATCCGGATGCACTTTTGGCGTCCGGGGCGGCCGCCGGTGTCGCTGCCGGAGCTGGTCTCAGCTCGGCACGCCATCTTCTTGAACTGATGGCAGAGCTTGCCTCGCATCACTTCAGTGTCTGCCGATCTTGGCACTTTTGAGGCTTCAATGCACCCATTGCCGGCATCTTCTTCGCTTCAGAGGCTAAGTCTAATTGTAATGCGGTTTCGCATGGTATGGAACGTTTACTGGCTCAAGCGAGGTCGTGAGACCTGCTGATGACAATCAGCTGGACCTGACGACAAGGCAGTTCCCAGGGAAGAACGTGTACCAATGAAGCCCGTTCCACACGGTGGTCCAGGCTTTTGGCGGCTGCTGTGAGTGCCGCTGTTGTCCAGTCATTCCTCCCAGCAGCGTCCTCGGCAAGAGCATGCAAAAGCACGAAAAGAGTAACCAAGTGTCGTTTAGGCAGATGTCTGACACATGTCACAGTATGTCTCCCAGGGCGGACCAGCCATCAAGACCAACGATTTCGCATGGGAAGGAGGCAACTCCGTGGCGGCCTCGTGTTCCACTGTTGTGCGAATATTCGCGTCCCTGAGGGATGAAGTGGATAACTGAGAGCTCAGGAGCTGTTGTTCTTCCTGTTGCTGGGCGTGCTGACAGGCAACCTGCTGATACATGCCGTTCGTCAACATCACACATGAGCTCGCGGGTTTACCTGAAACATTTCATGCGCAAAGTGTCTGAGCAGTGCAAACAGCTGAGGAGGTTGACCTTGTTTGTGAGTCAAGCTAGGGCTGTTCCAGCAGTGACGTACGGTAGTTTTGCTTTTCCACGAGCTTTGGGAGTATGGTGCGTTTAGGGTCCAGGAGTGGCGGATAGGAACACGGCTTCCTGCAGACTCTGGAAATATTTCGATGATCCCCATAAAGACGGAAGGTATCATGGCATACAGCTACAAGAAGATCGCGGGAGTTGCACGTGACGTGGCATCCTTCCTCAAGGAACAAGGCTGGCCCGCGATATTGCTTCCAGCTGTCAGAGCCTCAGCCGGAAAGTCATTGAGAGTTTCGGGAGCCGCTGCCTTTGCTTGCAGGCAGGTGCTCTGCTGACTGTTGCGCTCTCCGTTGCCGTCAACTCCCGTGTACAATTCGACGGTTTTGGGGTGCGCCTTCCCAGCCGAAGTTACCGTGAAATCGCAGAATCGCCAACCGTGCCGAGGCTGTGAACGAAGTGCTCAAGGATGCTTCGCAGCCTCTGAGCCTGTCTAACATCAACCTCGAGCCGCTGCTGCAGGCTCGTAAGATCGCATACGTCTGGGTCATTCCAATGCCTCCCAATGCATTCTGCAGGAGCGCGGCTCGACGGGCCTGTTCGGTGCGGCGACGCTATTAGTTCTGATGGTGCCTTCGTTTTCCTATTGAGAGCTACTGGCATACCGAACATGAGATATGTGGGTTAACGATTGAGGCGACCAAAGTTGTTGCCACGACCTTCTCCTCTGCCACTGGTTTGGTTGGAGGTATCGAATCCTCTCTTCAACTTGTGTTTGTGACAGTCGCAGGACAACTAGCCGATTTCGCTGTATTGGGCTGGCAGGTACTTTCGCGCCCTCCATCTATGTCGGTGCATGTTTGGGTGGTGCTCTCGGCAGACTCATGGAGGCCGGGATCCGCAAAGAAGGCTTTTGAACATCAGAACTGGCAAACACACGTTTAAGAAAGGAGTCAGTCGTGTGCCTGTGTTTCAGGGCTCCGTGATGGCACATTCCGAGCCTCGGCAGCAAGAGGGCTTCTTCAATAACGTGCAAAGACATGCTGCAGATAGGCCACGACAACGTACATCGTAGTTGGCATGGCTTCGATGCTTGCCGCGAATTGCAGCGCCACTTTCTCAGTTACAAGGAGGCTGCCGGAGGATTCGCAAGACCGTGGTCTTGTTTTGCAGGTTCCCATCACGTCCGTGGTTCTGGCGGTGGAGCTGGCAGGTGGTGCCAGCTACGAGGTGGGATGTCGGATACGACGCAAATAGTTGACATCCGCGCTCAAAACTGCCGTTGTTTTATCACTTTTTTATGGCAAGTTTGGCTTTGATCAGGCCACGCTGCCTCTGATCACAGGGATTGGCGTGGCACTCTATGCCAGGCTGTTAGTTGCAAGAGAAGAGGCACCATTCTGGCCGCGTGTGCTTTTCCGTAAGGTCTCAGCCGTTCTCCTGCCTGCACTTCTCGATGGCTTGGACCGCAATGCCGCGTTGTCCAGGCAAGTCTCGAAGTGGCAATCTATCATCGCAGGTATGTAGTATGCAGGCAGACTAGTGTGATAACTGTCAGGCTGTCGGATGCGGTAGCCGGCTCAACGTTCCTCAAAGTGTCGTTCCACAGAGTGCAGCAGTGTTGATTTCAATGCATCTAAGGCCGAAGACACGGGTATGTGAGACTGAATTGGTTTCGATAATTCATTGGACAAAGATTTCCTGCTTCATGCGTGGAAATTCTGAAGCCACTTTTGTTCATAATTGTTCGATTGCAGTGTGCTCTGGCCTCCAGGCATCGTGCTCCCATGACCATTCATTTCCCAATAATGGAACACCACCACACCACAACGAAGGGATACCGACCCTACTATAATGAGGAGAAGTCGATTCAAAGATGGGAATCCATAATGGTGAACTATGTTTATAAAATTGCCCGTATGGTTCAATATAATTATTTCGGTCATGGGTTGATATTTTAAATCAGATATTTGAATATTTCATATAAAT